TGGCTATAAAAACGGTTAAATCCCCATGGATCGATGAGGAATTGAAAAATGGTATGGTTGAGAGGGATGAGGGAAAAGGAATGGCAAATAAGTCTGGCTGCACAACCGATTGGCAAACCTATCGCAAATTGAGAAATCATGTGACTTAACTGAATAAAAAGAAGAAGAAACTACACTATGAAACAAAGATAAATGACATAAAGAAGGATACTAAAAAGCTTTGGAGCACCTTAAATTAAATTTAGGGAAAAAGGCAAACTCAGCTCCATCATTTATTGAATCAGATGGGTTATTCATCACAAAACCAACTAATATTGCCAAGTACTTTAATGATTTTTTCATTGGCAAGATTAACAAATTTAGGCATGACATGCCAGCAACAAATGCTGACAATACACATCCAAGTATATCTGACCAAATTATGAAAGACAAGCATTGTAATTTTGAATTCCGTAAAGTCAGTGTGGAAGAGGTGAAAAAATATTGTTGTCTATCAACAATGACAAGCCACCGGGGTCTGACAACTTGGATGGAAAATTACTGAGGATAATAGAGTACGATATTGCCACTCCTATTTCCCATATTTTCAATTTAAGCCTACTAGTAAGTGTGTGCCCCCAGGCCTGGAGGGAAGCAAAAGTCATTCCGCTACCTAAGAATAGTAAAGCCCCCTTTACTGGCTCAAATAGCCGACCAAATCAACCTGTTACCAACCCTTAGTAAACTTTTGGAAAAAATTTGTGTTTGACCAGATACAATGCTATTTTACAGTAAACAAATTGACAACAGACTTTCAGCATCTTCAATGCCCTTGCTGATGGAAGGAGGTTTTCACTCAAAATCTCACGATACTTGGCCCCATTCATTCTTTCCTTTACACGGATCAGTCGTCCTGGTCCCTTTGCAGAAAAACAGCCCTAAAGCATGATGTTTCCACCCCCATGCTTCACAGTAGGTATGGTGTTCCTTGGATGCAACTCAGCATTCTTTGTCCTCCAAACACGACGAGTTGAGTTTTTACCAAAAAAGTTATATTTTGGTTTCATCTGACCATATGACATTCTCCCAATCCTCTTCTGGATCATCCAAATGTACTCTAGCAAACTTCAGACGGGCCTGGACATGTACTGGCTTAAGCAGGGGGACACGTCTGGCACTGCAGGATTTGAGTCCCTGGCGGCGTAGTGTGTTACTGATGGTAGGCTTTGTTACTTTGGTCCCAGCTCTCTGCAGGTCATTCACTAGGTCCCCCCGTGTGGTTCTGGGATTTTTGCTCACCGTTCTTGTGATCATTTTGACCCCACAGGGTGAGATCTTGCGTGGAGCCCCAGATCGAGGGAGATTATCAGTGGTCTTGTATGTCTTCCATTTCCTAATAATTGCTCCCACAGTTGATTTCTTCAAACCAAGCTGCTTACCTATTGCAGATTCAGTCTTCCCAGCCTGGTGCAGGTCTACAATTTTGTTTCTGGTGTCCTTTGACAGCTCTTTGGTCTTGGCCATAGTGGAGTTTGGAGTGTGACTGTTTGAGGTTGTGGACAGGTGTCTTTTATACTGATAACAAGTTCAAACAGGTGCCATTAATACAGGTAACAAGTGGAGGACAGAGGAGCCTCTTAAAGAAGAAGTTACAGGTCTGTGAGAGCCAGAAATCTTGCTTGCTTGTAGGTGACCAAATACTTATTTTCCACCATAATTTGCAAATAAATTCATTAAAAATCCTACAATGTGATTTTCTGAAAAAAAAAATCTCAATTTGTCTGTCATAGTTGACGTGTACCTATGATGAAAATTACAGGCCTCTCTCATCTTTTTAAGTGGGAGAACTTGCACAATTGGTGGCTGACTAAATACTTTTTTCCCCCACTGTATATATATGTATGTATATGCGTATATGTATATGTATGTGTATATATATATATATATGCGAAAAAGAAAAAAAAACATATGGGGGATTGGAAGTGATGCAGACAATTACATTGATGGAAGTTACAATATATATGCAATATTAAAGCTGATCTACCCCCTAAAAATGATTTTTCATGTATATTTTTCATAGCCTTCTATTTACCACCACAAACCGACGCTGGCACTAAGACCGCACTCAACAAGCTGTATAAGGCCATAAGGAAACAAGAAAATGCTCATCCAGAAGCGGCGCTCCTAGTGGCCGGGGACTTTAATGCAGGCAAACTTAAATCAGTTTTATCTCATTTCTACCAGCATGTCACATGTGCAACCAAAGGAAAAAAAAACTCTAGACCACCTTTACTCCACACACAGAGACGCATACAAAGCTCTCCCTCGCCTTACATTTGGCAAATCTGACCATAATTCTATCCTCCTGATTCCTGCTTACAAGCAAAATCTGAAGCAGGAAGTATCAGTGACTCGCTCAATACGGAAGTGGTCAGATGACACGGATGCTACGCTACAGGACTGTTTTGCTAGCAAAATGGAATATGTTCCGGGATTCATCCAATGGCATTGAGGAGTATACCACCTCAGTCACCGGTTTCATCAATAAAAGCATTGACGATGTTGTGCCCACAGTGACCTTATATAAATACCCCAACCGGAAGCCATTGATTACATGCAGCATCCGCACTGAACTAAAGGGTAGAGCTGCCGCTTTCAGCTGCACCATCGACAGCATCCTGACTGGTTGCATCACCGCCTGGTATGGCATCTGCTCGGCATCCGACCGTAAGGCGCTACAGAGGGTAATGCGTACAGCCCAGTACATCACTGGGGCCAAGCTTCCTGCCATCCAGGACCTACAGTTGAAGTCGAAAGTTTACATACACCTTAGCAAAATACATTTAAAACAATTCCTGACATTTAATCCTAGTAGAAATTCCTTGTCTTAGGTCAGTTAGGATCACCACTTTATTTTAAGAATGTGAAATGTCCGAATAATTGTAGAGAGAATGATTTATTTCAGCTTTTATTTCTTTCATCACATTCCCAGTGGGTCAGAAGTTTACATACACTCAATTAGTATTTGGTAGCATTGCCTTTAAATTGTTTAACTTGGGTCAAACGTTTCGGGTAGCCTTCCACACGCTTCCCACAATAAGTTGGATGAATTTGGGTCCATTCCTCCTGACAGAGCTGGTGTAACTGAATCAGGTTTGTAGGCCTCCTTGCTCGCACACGCTTTTTCAGTTCTTCCCACAAATGTTCTATAGGATTGAGGTCAGGGCTTTGTGATGGCCACTCCAATACCTTGACTTTATTGATGCTGCCACCCCCGTGCTTCACGGTTGGGATTAGGGTTCTTCGGCTTGCAAGCCTTACCCTTTTTCCTCCAAACATAACGATGGTCATTATGGCCAAACAGTTCTATTTTTGTTTCATCAGATCAGAGGACATTTCTCCTAAAAGTACGATCTTTGTCCCCATGTGCAGTTGCAAACCGTAGTCTGGCTTTTTTATGGCGGTTTTGGAGCACTGTCTTCTTCCTGGCTGAGCGGCCTTTCAGGTTATGTCGATATAGGACTCGTTTTACTGTAGATATAGATACTTTTGTACCTGTTTCCTCCAGCATCTTCACAAGGTCCTTTGCTGTTGTTCTGGGATTGATTAGCACTTTTTGCACCAAAGTACATTAATCTCTAGGAGACAGAATGCGTCTCCTTCCTGACCGGTATGACGGCTGCGTGGTCCCATGGTGTTTATACTTGCGTACTATTGTTTGTACAGATGAACGGGGTACCTTCAGGCGTTTGGAAATTGCTCCCAAGATTGTTTTTCGGAGGTCTTGGCTGATTTCTTTTGATTTTCCGATGATGTCAAGCAAAGAGGCACAGAGTTTGAAAGTAGGCCTTGAAATACATCTACAGGTACACCTCCAATTGAATCAAATGATGTCAATTAGCCTATCAGAATCTTCTAAAGCCTGGAATTTTCCAAGCTGTTTAAAGGCACAGTCAATTTAGTGTATGTAGACTTCTGACCCACTGGAATTGTGATACAGTGAATTATAAGTGAAATAATCTGTCTGTAAACAATTGTTGGAAAAATGACTTGTGTCATGCACAAAGTAGATGTCCTAACCGACTTGCCAAAACTATGGTTTGTTAACAAGAAATGTGTGTAGTGGTTGAAAAACTCCAACCTAAGTGTATGTAAACTTCCGACTTCAACTGTATATATTAGGCATGTCAGAGGAAGGCCCAGAAAATTGCCAAAGACTCCAGTCACCCAAGTCATAGACTGTTCTCTCTGCTACCGCACGGAAAGCGGTATCAGAGTGCCAAGTCTAGGTCCAAAAGGCTCCTTAACAGCTTCTATCCCCAAGCCATAAGACTGCTGAGCAATTAATGAAATGGCCACCCGGACTATCTGCGTTTGTTTTTACAAATTACCTCGACTAACCTGTACCCCCGCACATTGACTCAGTACCAGTACCCCCTGTATATAGCCTCATTATTGTTATTTTATTGTGTTACTTTTATTTATATTTTTTTACTTTAGTTTATTGAGTAAATATTTTCTTAACTCTATTTTCTTAAAACTGCCTGTTGTATTCTGCGCATGTGACAAATACAATTTGATTTGATGTGATTACACAAGTGCACCTTGTGCTGGGGACATTAAAAGGCCAGTCTAAAATGTACAGTTTTTCCACACAACACAATACCACAGATGTCTTAAGTTTTGAGGGAGCGTGCAATTGGTATGCTGACTGCAGGAATGTCCACCAGAACTGTTGCCAGATAATTTAATGTTAATGTCTCTACCCTAAGCCGCCTCCAGCGTTGTTTTAGAGAATTTGGCAGTACGTCCAATCGCCCTCACAACCGCAGACCACGTGTAACCACACCAGCCCAGGACCTCCACATCGGGCTTCTTTACCTGTGGGATCGTCTGAGACCAGCCACCCGGACAGCTGATAAAACTGAGGAGTATTTCTGTCTGTAATAAAGCCCTTTTGTGGGGAAAAACTAATTCCTTATATGAACTATAACTCAGTAAAATCTTTGAAATTGTTGCGTTTATATTTTTGTTCAGTGTATATTTACAACATTCACAATAATTACATACATCATTCACATATCAATCATTCTTTGAACATTCATTGACAATATATTCAGGTGCTCAAGGCTTTCCAGCACAGCACAGTACATTATGACAAGTCCATGCCTGAGGCACATGAATGTTCATTCTGTGCAGTCTCTCTCCACCAATTCAAAGTCAGCAACAGAACTTCAGTAGCATTCATATAAAAACAGAGACAACAACTAGTGTGAAAAAACATAATTAAAACCAAATCTATTGTCTGGTGCTGCCCTAACTGCTGCCAGTCCTCAAACATCATTTCCACTCTCCTGTAGTGCCTCTTTTCCGCCCTCTTGCTGTGGCATATTGACATACACCTCCTCCTCCCTTGATAGAGGGAGCTCAGAGTCAGCCTGGGATGAGTCTATGTGGGTGCTGGTAGGTGTGGAGCATGACCCATTTCCTATAGGGTAGTTAACAGTGATGTTGACATTAACTAGGGGGCTAGATGGCAGGGGACTGATAGGCTGGGGGCTGATGGGTTGAGGGCTGGGTTGGTTGGTGCTGGACTGGGTGCTGGATGGTGGAGGGGTGGACTGGAGGGGGCCTATTGACAGGCCCTCGAGGATGTTGGAGCACCCTAACACCCTGGTCCTTCTAGCATCCTGCTGGTTCTCTGCCTGACTGGGATATATGCAGTTTCCCTTTCCCAGCAGACATTGCTGCTGTTCCTGATAGCTGGTAATGAATGAACTGTTCTGAAGAATCATTGGTCCATCACAATCAAACTGAGAGAGAGAGAGAGAGAGAGAGAGAGAGAGAGAGAGAGAGAGATGTGATATGTTTAAGATTGAGTTGAAGCTGTTGAAATGTTCTTGTCTCTAACATTTCCTTTTCTTAGGGCAACAAAAAAAACTCACTTTAATGGCCTCACAATTTCCATTTACATGTTCTGTAGAAGATACAAGCCTGGACCCTGTGAAGGCTGTAAGAGAACATAGTAAACCTACACTAAAATGTTGGTATATGCATATCCATGCTTACAGTAGGTCTGTTATATTGTTATTACCCTAATCAAGTGCTTCATCTCTAATACTTTACCCTTCTTGTAAATGATTGTGCTTATGATCAGCAGCAGGATAACACCTCCGATAACACCTCCGATAACGCCTGCAACTAATAGACACAGGAACAAGAGGTACAACAAAGCGGTGTCCGCAAATAGGAGAGATGGAGGCAAAGAAATGTGAAAATCATGAGTGTAGTCCGACAACTTCATGTCTCTGTACAGTTGTAGGATCTTAATTTGATCACTCTTTTTTTTGGTGAGAATTCTCCTGCACAGCAGGAAATGCAAACATGTAATGTATTCTAGGTTTAAAAATATTTATAATGTTTGTCATTTCCCCTTTAAAATGTCAGACTTCATTTTCCCTAACAAAAAATGTATCAACCCCTACAAAATATTTCCATTAATTGTAATCCACATAATAATTCACATTTCCTCTTGCTGCAGGATTATTTTCTTGCTGTAGCAAACTGGCTCAATTTAAGATCCTACATCTGTATATAGCTATCTATATTTACCTATACGAAGGTCAAAGCCTGGTGATTTGTCCTCATTATGCAGGCTCTGTAGACTTGGTGTGGTATGCCTTGTACCAGAGGTAGGCATTGTGGTCGGTGGGCTGGCCGGTGGGCTAACCTTAGGTCCACACACCGCATTTGAGGTGGTGGTACCATAAGTTAGTACACCCCTTCTCTGAGAAACACAGCTGAGGATACAGTGTTATTGTTAACATAATACAGTTCATATATGTGTGTGTGTGTGTGTCACTTACTCTGTGTGGTGCTGGCAGGTCTGGGTGTAGGAGTGCTGGTCAGAGAAGGTTCCATCAGGGCATGGTGCACAGTTCACATCTGACTCTGTTGTCCCTGAAACATCCACCCCAACACACAAACACATTTACTCACACTCTTACAGTGAACAGTCATATTCAAACTTTCAATGTAATATTTAATGAGGACAGAAACATGTTGAATGTGTGAGAAATACTGTCAGACCGGCCTCCTGTCCAGCTATAGTACCTTCTATGGAGACACCATGGCCAGGTTTGCAGTGTGTATAACTGACACACTCCTTACAGTTTGGGTGCTGATCCATTATGCAGAACATCCCAGTCTGACACACACACTGGGCTTTGGTGATGCTGGAGCAATTCTGGGCATACTGCAGGCCTTTGTCTTCTCACATAAACAAATAAGATGCTCATTACAGATTAGATGCATCAACTCACACACATATACACACACACAAACAACTCACACATAAACACACAAACACACGTGTGCGCTCATGCGTGCGCACACACACATGTAAGCCCTAAGGAATAAATACAACAAATCTAAGTCACTGTTACAGTGTCTTCAGAAAGTATTCAGACATTTTTACAAATTAATACAAAATGAAAAGCTGAAATGTCTTGAGTAAATAAGTATTCAACCCCTTTGTTATGGCAAGCCTAAATAAGTTCAGGGGTAAAAATGTGCTTAAGAAGTCATATAATAACTTGCATGGACTCACTCTGTGTGCAATAATAGTGGTTAACATGATTTTTTGAATGACTACCCCATCTCTGTACCCCACACATACAATGATTTGTAAGATCCCTCAGTTGGGTAGTGAACAGATTCAACCTCAAAGACCAGGGAGGTTTTTCAACGCCTCGCAAAGAAGGCACCTACTGGTAGATGGGTAAAAAAAAAAAAGCAGACACTGAATACCCCTTTGAGCGTGGTGAAGTTATTAATTACGCTTTGGATGGTGAGTCTATACACCCAGTCACTACAAAGATACAGGTGTCCAATCTAACGCAGTTGCTGGAAAGAAAGGAAACTGCTCAGGGATTTCACCATGAGGCCAATGGTGATTTTAAAACAGTTACAGAGTTTAATGTCTGTGATAGGAGAAAACTGAGGTTTGATCAACACGTTGTAGTTACTCCACAATACTAACCTAAATGACAGAGTGAAAAGAAGGAAGCCTGTACAGAATAACATATTCCAAAACATGCATCCTGTTTGCAATAAGGCACTAAAGTAATACTGCAAAAATGTGTCAAAGAAACAAACTTTCTGTCCTGAATACAAAGCATTATGTTTGTGGCAAATCCAATACAACACATCACTGAGTGCCACTCTTCATATTTTCAAGCATGGTGGTGGCTCCATAATGTTATAGGTGTACTTGTCATTGATAAGGACTGGGGAGTTTTTCAGGATAAAAATAAATGCAATAGAGCTAAGCACAGGCAAAATCCTAGAGGACAACATGGTTCAGTCTGCTTTCCAACAGACATTGGGAGACAAATTCACCTTTCAGCAGGACAATAACCTAAAACACAAGCCAAATATACACTGGAGGTGCTTGCCAAGACGACATTGAATGTTCCCGAGTGGCTTAGTTACAGTTTTGACTTAAATCAGCTTGAAAATCTATGGCAAGACTTGAAAATGGCTGTCTAGCAATGATCAACAACCAATTTGACAGAGCGTTAAAAAATAAATAATGGGCAGATATTGTACAATCCAGGTGTGCAAAGCTATTAGCGACTTCCCACTGGCACACACTGGTTGAATAAACGTTGTTGCCACGTCATTTCAACAGAATTACGTTGACCCAACGTGGAAAAGACATTGAATTGATGTCTGTGCCCAGTGGGTTACCCAAAAAGACTCACAGCTGTAATCGCTGCCAAATGTGATTCTAACCTGTATTGACTCAGGGGGTTGAATACTTATCTAATCAAGATATATTAGTGAATCAAATGCTTTATTATTTAAATATTGAAAAAAATCTGGCTACAGACGGAACAACATAACACATTCTGAAGTCATATGGGGCTTCAGTGGGTATGGATACGGTGGGAACATGTGGGTCTGAGCAAGTGTGATGTCATTAATGTTTGTTGAAATGTACGGTATGTAAATGTTAAGTTGTCTATTGTTTTTGTCTATGTATGTTTTTATTTATTGTCAAATAAAGTAAAATAAAATATAACAAAAAAATATATTAGTGTTTTATGTTCCATTAGTTTTTTATGTTAGGATTTTTCTTCCACTTTTACATTAGAGTATTTTGTGTAGACCGTTGACAAAAATAACAATTAAATACATTTTAATCCCACTTTGTAAAATGTGGAAAGTTAAGGGGGTTGAATACTTTCTGAAGGCACTGTATATAACATGACCAATAATTTACTGCAATATAATCCACCCACCTTCGGAACACTTGTGACATCTGAAGCATTTTGGGAAGTAATTGAAGGTCCCACTGTATTGGCCACTGGGACATGGTTCACACTCTGTGTCTGAGGTAGTGCTGCATACATTCTTCCGGCGTGTCCCTGTCATGACATTTAAGCAATAAGGCACGAGGGGGTGTGGTATATAGCCAATATACCACGGCTAAGGGCTGTTCTTAAGCACGACGCAATGCGGAGTGCATGGATACAGCCCTTAGTCGTGGTATATTGGCCATAAACCACAAACCCCTGAGGTGCCTTATTGCTATTATAAACTGGTTACCAACGTAATTAGAGCAGTAAAAATAAATGTTTTGTCATACTCGTGGTATACGGTCTGATATACCACGGCTGTCAGCCAATCAGCATTCAGGGCTCGAACCACCCAGTTTATAATAATGCATAACTTAAAGTTACCTACATGTACACTGTACATCTTTCTTGCTGTCTTTTTGCACAGTGTATGCTATCCCTGAAATCCTAACTTTCATAATATGTACAGAAACAGTTTCATTCATGTTGATGATCATCCCTTACCAGGAGCACACTTGCTGCAGCACAGGTTTATATCTATGTTATAGTATTCAGCTGTTTTGTTGCGACAGTCTTCAGCAGAGTCTGGTGTGTATGGCAGAGTGTACACCTGTAGGGAAAAAGAGACCATGAAGTGCACCTGATCAGGAGGAGGAGTGATGAGTAACATATCCCACCAATATTTTCCTTTCCCTTCTTTTTAAACTTCTAGTACAACCCAAGGGTTGGATATTGTGTCCGAAGAAGACCTATTCTATTCTATCTGCTGGAGACTGGGGAATATACACTGAAACCTTTGTGGTATAGTCATTATTTGCCAGTAGACACAGGACATGTAAAACACCCAATGTACTGACAGTAAAATAAATAAAAAAGCCCCTGTGTATCTCCAGTATCTCATGTATGACAGGAAGTGGTAGGAGGAGACGGGAGAGAGAGAGATCGAGAGAAAGAGAGACTTTCGATAAGCTGCCAGGACTGGCTATGTGGTCTGACTGAACAATAAAGATACACCACTGCCAAGGCCTCACACTATCATCCTCCCTCGCAGCCTCTAACAGGCATTTCCTTTTCATTTATGGCAGCCACCCAAAACAAAGATAACAAATCAGGTAAAGTGAATCTGGAGTTTTCCTGATTTGATACAGTATGTGTTCTATTTCAAATACTTGTTTTGTGTCTCACTATGGGATATGCCTCGGTGTGTCCACAAGCTCGAAGTAACCAATCACACAGCATCTGTTGGAGACAGACAGGTTGAGTGGCGAGTGAGGTGAGCCCCTCTCCTCCGTAAAGGGAGCCACTCGCTCACCAACGGGTCATTCTCGTCTCTCTTCCTTGCGGAAGTGACAGCGTTCACAAAAGCTCTCCTTGCACGACTAGATTTCTGGTTTCCTACTGAACTGTTCTCAGGCGAATCGTGAAGTGAATGCTGCCGAACATAGGACTTCAGCTCCTGTCAATTGGGTTGAGTACCGATCGAAAGGCTTTGCTTCGAGTACAATTTATTTTTTACTCAACAGTCTCCGTTTAGCTTGCGCCACACGGCTAGCTATTGAGATTTGGTTAGCCATCGCCGCAGGCCTTTAGCTAACTTGGCTAACTAGCTGCAAGGCTAGCTAACCACACAAAGGACTAGCTCTCGCCACAAGGCTTAAGCTAACCTGTGTAACTTGCCGCAATGCCTCGGGGACGGCCAGGAGGACGCGGAGCAGGGCGAGCCGGAAGGCGACGGTGGAAATCCCACAATAGGGAGGGATCGAGGATATCCCTCACCGGAACTCAGCACCGCTCCTCCAGACCGTACCCATCCCACCCCACGAGGTACTGAAGGCTCCCCACCCGACGCCTCAAATCTTGGATGGAACGGACGGAGTACGCCGGGGCCCCCTCGATGTCCAGACTCCCAAACCTCAGACTCCTGGAGCGGACCAGCCACCACCGGCCTGAGGAGAGACACATGGAACGAGGCCCATGGCAAGAACACTGACCACTCCCCCGGCCGGTCCTGGCAATAGGACCGCAGGAACCTACCCACATCCTGATTCACCCGTTCCACCTGCCCATTACTCTCTGGGTGAAACCCAGAGGTCAGGCTGACCAAGACCCCCAGACGTTCCATGAACGCCTTCCAGACCCTGGATGTAAACTGGGGACCCCGGTCAGACACTATGTCCTCTGGCACCCCGTACTGCAGGAAGACATGAGTAAACAGGGCCTGCGCAGTCTGCAGGGCCGTGGGGAGACCGGGCAGAGGAAGGAGGCAGCAGGCTTTTGAAAAGCGGTCTACAACGACCAGGATGGTGGTGTTACCCTGAGAGATGGGAAGATCAGAGAGAAAGTCAATACACAGGTGGGACCATGCCCGTTGTGGAACTGGTAAGGGCTGTAACTTACCCGCTGGGAGGTGCCTAGGTGCCTTACTCTGGGCGCACACCGAGCAAGAGGAGACTTACACCCTCAAGTCCTTAGCCAAGGTAGGCCACCAGTACTTTCCTGTCAGGCAGCGCACTGTACGACCGATACCTTGGTGACCAGAGGAGGGGGATGTGTGTGCCCAATAGATCAGACGGTCACGGACAAGAGAAGGCACGTACTGCAGCCCAGCTGGACACTGAGGTGGAGATGGCTCTGTGCGTAATGCCCGCTCTATGTCCGTGTCCATCGCCCAAACTACAGGCGCCACAATACAGGAGGCCGGGAGTATGGGGGTGTTGTCTATGGGCCTCTACTCTGTGTCGTACAGCCGTGACAGTCCGTCTGCCTTCACGTTCTTCATACCCGGGATGTATGATAGAGTAAAATCAAACTGGGTGAAGAATATGGCCCACCTGGCCTGGCGAGGGTTCAGCGTCCTCGCTGCCCGGATGTACTCCAGGTTACGGTGGTCCGTCCAGACAAGGAAAGGGTGTTTCGCCCCCTCGAGCCAGTGCCTCCACACGGTCAGGGCTCGGACAACAGCCAACAGCTCCCGATCACCAACGTCGTAGTTCTGTTCCACTGGGCTGAGCTTCTTGGAGAAGTAGGCACGGGGCGGAGCTTGGGTGGCATGCCCGAGCGTTGAGATAGGACAGCGCCTATCCCTACCTCGGACGCATCCACCTCCACTACGAACGGTAGTGATGGATCGGGATGGGCCAGTACCGGGGTTGAGGTGAACAGAACCCTCAGGTTACTGAAGGCCCTGTCATCCTCAGCAGACCAGCGGAGCCAGGACGGCCCACCCTTCAGCAGAGATGTTATGGGAGCTGCGACCTTGCCAAAGCCCCGGATAAACCTCCAATAGTAGTTGGCAAAACCAAGAAAGCGCTGCACGTCCTTAACCGTGGTTGGAGTTGGCCAATTACGCACGGCTGAAACGCGATCTCCCTCCATCTCCACACCTGAGGTGGTAATGCGGTATCCGAGGAAGGAGACGGACTGTTGGAAAAACAGACACTTTTCTGCCTTGGCATAAAGGTCTTATTGGCTGGTTTGCGTGGCTTGCTTACGAGGTTGGATGTTTAAGTTAGAATCATCCCAGTGAACCAGTGTTGCCAACTTAGCGACTTTGTCGCTATATTTAGCGAGTTTTCAGACCCCTCTAGCAACACATTTTCAAAAAAGCGACTAGCGACAAATCTAGCGACTTTTTCTGGTGTTATTGGAAACTCTGATGTGAAAGCATGTATCGTTCTTACTCTTCTCAACGAGCAGCGGGTGCTTTGTTACCCCCGTCCCAAAGCACTCACAGGTGGCCCAGTCCTCGCGCAGCAGTCCCTCCCAGCTGCAGTCAGAGCAGGAGATGTTCAACCCTCCGCGTCCAGACTGTAAATGAATCGCGCATGCGGGAAGCCGCCGCTGGCTGATCCCGATGTAAATGTAGGGTGTTTTTTACTCACTTTTTGTCTCTCCCACAACGTTATTCCTCTCTCCTACAGCGTCCATCACAATTACATGCACATGGCCAATTATGCAAATTGGATGATGACGTCATTTACCAACTTTTAGGACAGCCAATAGCTACTTTCCTTACTGAGGCGTTGGCAACACTGCAGTGAACAAGCACCAAACCAGCGGTAGGTTGTTGGTTGCAAAGCACTGTATGTCAAAAGTGATTTTTATACTCCCAAGTGATGATTTGAATGTACAATTTATATCAATTTGATTGTAAATATTATTAGAACATCACACATAAGATGCAGCGTTTTTGGTGCATATTTGTTGTGCATTTTGTTGTAGATAATTTCAGCTAATGCTACCTAGCAACTAACTGTGTCTGGTGGGGGGTTTCGTATATTTTGTACAGTGTGTGAGTGCAGGGTTGGATGGTGAGCCGTGCATTGCATGACGTGCAATTTTGTGCTGTTTCTATCAGGTACATTGTTAAAAATATTATATTGTGTATTGTAATTGTTGTATTATTTTGGTAACTACGTTGCCCCAGTGAACAAGCATCAAACCAGCGTGCGTGAGTGCAGACTTGGATGGTGAGCCGTGCATTGCATGATGTGCAATTTTGTGCTGTTTCTATCAGAATAAATCTCCATGACTGGTGCTACAAGTTGGAGTCCGTGTCGATGATTGTACACAATGCAAGAAGAGTACTGTTATAGTGGTGCCGTGACCGTTCTTCTGGATCGGATCGTCCTTCGCTGGATTTCCATCTCAGAAGTTCACCGTGGTTGCCGTTGGAAAATCAGATAAGACGTTGCTAGTGCAGTTAATGCAATATCGCATTTCGCCACAAGAGGGCGCTAGTGCATCGTTTTGTGATTAGTTACGTTGATGATTTCTCTTATTGTGACGTTCTATATTGATTGGGACTTTCTTTTAACGGATAAACGATATAACTTGTTACTTATTTATTTGCAATTGTAATGTATATCTGATATAACTGGGGTGGGTTTAACATTTACATTTTACATTTTAGTCATTTAGCAGACGCTCTTATCCAGAGCGACTTACAGTTAGTGAGTGCATACATTTTCATACTGGCCCCCCATGGGAATCGAACCCACAACCCTGGCATTGCAAACGTTTGCATTTTTGTTTTAGTGTGTTCATTTCCCATTATTAAGATGGAAGGTGTTGGGAGAGGTAGGGGTTTCCTGACATTTAATCTGTCACCATCTGTTGGTAGGGGTTCAGCCAGTATTCCAGTTGCTTCTACACCCATGCCTAAACTGGAGGGTTTTGGGGGGTTTTGATGATAGTTTCCACAGGGAAATGCCCAAGGATGTGAATGAAAGAGGTTTGCCAAATACAGGGAGTGGGGAGACAGTCTCCATGGATTTCATAGGAGACATTGTACAGCAGATTGGTCATTCCATTGGGGAGAACATTGCCTCCTGTTCGGAGTCAAAGGCAATTGTTGGACATGTTTGGGACAATGTTATGGGGAATGCATGCAGCTCTTGGGGTATGGATGTGTCGGGCCTAAACCTGGTATTGAAGTCTGATATCAGGGAGCCGGTGTGCTTTAGGGGGATGGCTCTGAAAAGTGAAAAGTGCATGAGTGGGAGGATATGGTCATGGTTTACATGCGTAAGAGGGGCGTATCTGTGGTGGGCCAAGCAGATGAGGTTATGGGTAGGCTTATGGGAAGGTCCCGCGATGTTGTTAAAGTGGGCATACGCAGCAATCCCTCTGTTGATTTATCTAAATACCCAAGTCCCATCTTTGACGTACTGAAACACATTTTTAGTGACACTGCTTTTTCAAGCGTGCCCCTCGCTGACTTTTATGCCACATTACCTCTGACTGATGA